GTCTGGTCACCCCTAGCTCTCTTACAACCTACTCCTATACCATCGAGCATCGCACTTCGAAGCAGTCGGCGGTTGAGCATACGTAATACATGTTCCAGCCGTCTCAACTGATGAAGCTTCACTACTTCATCAATTGATTTGCCATCCTTACCTAGAAACCGTTTCCTAACAACTGCGTTACTTACTCGATGGTACCAGGATATACGATCAATATTTCGAAGACACCTGTGGTCGAATACTAGTGACCTACAAATATCCTCTACTTTTACCGGCCATGTTTCACTGCCTTAAAGTTGGACAGAACGAACTGCTGCGCAGTAAACCCGCCCTTTGGTTGATAAATGGATATCTCGCTCACGCCATAAATGACGCAAGTTGGCAAAAGCTAATCGAGCCTTCTGTATCCGCGCTGAGATTTCGTCACACATCAGACCACAAGGGCTGATGAGACTTCCAAGATAAGTGAAGCGATCGACACGCTCAATTGCTTCACTCTCTATCATTAGTTCGGGTGTCAATGCAACCCAATCCTGAAGCAACATTTTGCATTTCGAGGGGGAGAATCGCATCCCGAACATGATTGCATTGTTGCTTAGAGTGGTCAGAAGACTCTGCATTTTGTCAGCGTCTTCACCAAATAAAACTATGTCATCTGCATATTCTAAGTCAACAAGTGAGTCTCTCGGTAGAAGTTCAACTCCTTGAAATTTAGATGAGGAAAGTGTTATCTCAAAAAGCACGTCAAACAAGAATAGAGAGAGTGGACAGCACTAACCAACACCACTTGAGGTAATCACTTTTGATGACAGTTAACCATAAGCTCCCACTCGACCAGTTGTGTTCGAGTAGAGAGCATTTACAAGGTTAATGTACTTCTTTGGTACTCCATTCAGTGACAAACACTGCCACAGAACCTCACGATCATCAGAGTCAAATACCGCCTTAAGATCGAGAAATACTACAATTGTGTGTCTATATTCTAGGACCTGACGTAGTGTGAATATCTGGTCTATACAACCATGTCCAGGTCGAAAACCAGCCTGGTTTTCTCTAGTCTGCTCTTCACGAGCTTTGGTTAGGCGTCGAAGTATTATTGAGGCTAATATTTTAGACACTATATTAGTCAAACTGATTCCTTTGTGATTGTCACAAGAGGACTTTTGTCCTTTCTTAAAAACTGGCACAATCAGTGATTGAGACCAGTCAGATGGAATTACGTCCAGTTCCCAAATTCTACCTAAGACCTCGGTTAATCTCATTGCTAATACTGGATCACCATCCTTAAAAATCTCAGGAGTGAACCTGTCAGGGCCTGCTGCTCTCCCTCGTTTCAGATTTCCTATGGCTTTTTCAACTACATAAAGAGTCGGAGGGCCTAAATTAACTTGCTATTCAGGTTGACTAGAGATTGTGGAAAACCAAAGTGTGGCTGAAGGCCAGTTGAACTGATCCCTAAAGTGTTCTGCCCATCGATCCAATCTCCTGGATTGAGAATGAATGATATGTCCATCTTTCTCTGAGATTGTTTCGCTAACGGTCGGGTTCCTAATACAGGTTTCTTTAACGAGTCTGAACAATTGTCTGCTATTACCTATTGCTGCTGCCTTTTCCATCTCTCTTGCTTTCGCTACCCACCAATGTTCGCGATCATTGCGTAGACTTTTTGTCAGCTTGCGCTTAAGCTGACTCCGCTCTTCATTATGTTCAGAGCCAGGTGGAATGAGTTTCCGAGCATCTATCAATGCGATAGATGCTGCTGAGATCCAGTGTTGCTCCTTAACCTTCTGGTTTACCTTACTAGCAGATATCACTGCTGTTTCCACAGCTTTTCGGATATCATTCCATGCTGCATCGGGGTGGGTATCACATACATGGCTGCCTAACTGTTTTCCTATTTGTTCCTGAAATATACTCTTAGCTTGACAATCATTAAGTAGGGGTCTAAGAAGTTTCCTTGTATCGTCTTTCCTACGTCCAGTAAGACGCAAACAATTACACGCTCGCACTAGAGCATGATCTGAGTCTAAACATGTGCTCCAGAATGAGCGACAGTCTTCTATCAAGCCCTTCCACCGGTGGCTGATGGCGGTATGATCTAGTTGGGTCCAACATTGGGATGAATTCGGGGTCGCTATCTTAAAAGATGTTTTTCCTTAGGCTTGAAGTTAGTATTTACAAGAAACAGGCGATTATCTGAGCGTAGTTGCAACAGACGGTCGCCATTATCTGTTCTTTGAGCCGCGACACCATAAGATCCACCTAGGTGTCTTTCCCTATCGCTTAGTTTACCTACTTGAGCATTAAAGTCACCGGTCACTATTACTACATCCGAGCGCTTAGCTTTTCGGAGAAGGTCCGAAAGCTTTCTGTAAAACTCATCTTTTACATCATCTGCGCTGCAGTCAGTGGGAGAATAGGCAGAGACGACTGTTCCGTTCAGTCGGACAGCGCACAAGCGACTGTCTACTGGGATCCAGTCTAAAAGAGCTAGTTCTGTCCTAGGACTCAATGCTATACCTACGCCAGCGAAACCACGGGGAGCAGCACCAGGGCATCCAGATACACGAAGTGTATGTCGAGTTGGTTCGTTACTTTGAAATGGCGAGGTCAAATAAATAACACTAGTCGGGTCCTGTATGCGCGTTTCGTAGGCGCAGCACACATCGACGGGGCGAGATTCAAAAGTCCTAGTTAAGAAAGCCTGTTGTCCTATTTGGCACAGTGTTCAGACGTTTAAAGAGTGGTTTCAGGAGACCAGGAATAAAGTTCCGCGTACTCGAATCGTTTGCCCTAGCGGTGCGAGGTGATAAAGGACGTGAGAAGGGTTATTCGTGGAAATAAGAGAGTTATTAGGATGTGTAGGGAAGATTTGAATGTGACCGACTTGGTCTCGTGTGTTGTTACGAGTATATGGGCTGATATCACTCCCCGACTGCCCACACCGTGGAAGGGTATTTCTTGAGGAACCTGAAAAGGAACTTGGATTAGTGTTGGTCTTGACGACCTAGGAACGTGACCGCAGAGCCCAAGAGACAACTGCTTGAGGCCGGTCGCGCAAGGCCTTTTTGTGGAAGGTTTTTGACGTGTTAGCTCCGTTCTTGAAAGGGGCTTACCGCTGGAGACGGAAATCTGTGAGGTAAGGTGAGGTGTGACATTTTTAGGGCAGACCTTTTCTAACCCTTTCCTTCTTTGTGAAAAGGCAGCATCGCCGCAGATTCTAGTTGTTCGAGGGAAACTCCTTACTGCTGTCACAGCCCTCTACAGTCAGCAGTACGACTTCGCCTGGGTTTTCCACTGTCCTACTAGAAACAACACATCTTGGTGAGACTGTAATTGATGGATGAACTAATGAAATTAAAGATAGCAAGTCTTGGCTAAAAGGCATTTTTGCATTATAGCTGACGTTTGTTCATGATGCAAATCCTAACTGTTATTTATAGACCTAACTTCTAGCCTCAAATTCTTATTTTAATTCCTCACATTAATTTATGATCATCTTTTGATCGTATCAAGTAGATGAATTTTCTAAATGTCACTACAGAACCCCTCAAGGGTCGTCCATAAATTATATTCACCCCCTTCCATCGTCTAACTTTTCAAGTGTTATCTATGTGTAATTAAAGGTGGTGTCGACGATGTTAGGAATGCCAAATAATTCTCCACAATCAGAACCATTGTAGTTCATTACGCACGAACCCATAAGTCTCCAGTTAGCTGTTGTACGTTTGCCAAGTCGAATCAAACACTATGATCTTAACATAATACGTTTTACGTCTTTAAATATTATAATAAACAACATGAATTCAAATTCCAAGTAAAGAGAAAGAGAACTCGTTAAGTTACACCAAACTTTCTTGTTAAGTGCATATGGAATAACGAAATGCATTCGTAGAAATTACCACTAGCTACTAACACTCCGTTTGTTCATCCAAGGTATTCATCAACTATATAAATAAGGCATCTTACTGTTAGTGTTGAGACTTGCTCATGGTATTCATCGGTTCAAAATGAAAGTTATAACTTACGGCTACCGGTTTATTTTAGGCAGTATCTGTTCGAGAACGGTTATAATTTGCCTCCCTAGTAAAAGTTTGTATCACTAAAACCTGGACTAAACTTTCATTCTAGTGTTGGATATCGTCACTGAACTGGATTAGAGAGCTGTTACATTTAATTATAAGTTTGAGCGTGATTGGTTTGGTTCACAGTGGTTTCTGATAATCAGTTTGAGCAACTTATTACTATAATATACGTGGTTATGACTGAAAATATACATTTATTCCCACGTGTTTTCGTCCTTGCTTTTTGTATTGAGATATATTACTTATTATAAATTATAAATAGTATCGCTGTTTTGCATCGAACTAATAATCCTATCAGCTTATATTTCTCTTTCGATAATTTGGTTCATTATTCTACCTGAAAAAGTATTTTTCAATCTTTCATGGTTTGGTTACTTTGTGCTAGTCACTATCTGTAACCTCAATCATCGTGAACGATCTCACCGTTTTCAAAACCTGTAATAAACTTTATTTTCAGGAAATTTAGTCATTCCTGTTCGAAAAAGCTGTGTACTTTGCTATTCTTTTTTCCACGTTTCAAATATTTGTTTTTCCTGTATTCACACCCCACATATTTACTAACACCCATAAACCTCAGGACTAAAGTGTACACTCTCAGTGTGTATACTATTTTTTGTGATGTAACTAGACTTTCAAGCAAGCTTCGCCATTTAGTTTTAAGATTCTATACGTAAATAAGCCAGTGAGTTGAAAATGTCGACCAAATTATATGCTGAGATTTGTTCGATATTTATGCGCTTGCTGTGAAATATGTAAATCTTATTAAGTAATTTTGCTGGAATCGTAGGTATTCACCGACTGAAAGTAAATGGGCAAAAATAAATTTCAAAGGTAATACAAAGATATTCATCATTTTATTGGCCAAATCGTTCTACACTGTAGATTACTCATTGTTAAATGAAAACAAAGTAGATATTCTCATTGATCCAAAGATTTTGGAATGGTTGACTTTACAATTGTTCTGACTATTTGTTTATCGTAAATGTATCCTCTCATTTTTTCAGCTAAATAAAAAATCACTAAACCAATTGATAAATATTGAACCCATGCAAATTTGATGGTGTACCAAAATCCTGGATTAGCACTATAAGACAATGTTAATAATAATATATTATGCAAGGAATTATAAAATGTATTAACTAGAAATGATTTATTATAGCAAAGTTGGAGAAATCATCAGCTGAAAATGCTTCTATGATGTCATAAAGCTTATACTTTTTAAAAATATTTCTTATATCTTCATTCGATTCCAATTGGTTGGTGATTTCAATCAGACATTTTCAATCCTATTGACCTTGATCGGATCACTAGATAGATACAAATATATAGAATACTTGATATGACTAATCTCGCAAACTGAAGATCGGATTCTACCGTGCAGAACAATAACCTTTTATCATTTAAGTCATTTGTAATTGTATAAGGTAAATATAAGCTACTCAAATGATGTGTTCTTCATTTACTATTCAGCCAATCAAGTGCAAATCTCAATCAAGACTTTTCTTCAGGTATCTTATTCACTAACATAATACATAATTTACTATTGACACAAATTTTCCCTGTAAAACTAAATAGGACTTTATAAATGGAAATCGTATACATGGAATGGATTTCTTAAAGATTATACATTTTATTCACAAGTACCAATCAAACTTCGATCTAGTTGAAGAAACCTCCTGCAAGCGTTTCTCAATCATAAATATGATGGGAAAACTAGAGATGTTCATGATCATAATTTTTCTAAAATGGATTATTTATTTTCTAGTACTTGTTTTTTTCAGCCAAAATTGTTAAGACAGAATTCAAACAGTAGTTACTCTCAGAGTCCAAACATTCTTCTCGGGATTATTTGGTCAATTAAGGTAGACTGGCTCTATACAAAACATGTTTATCATACCTATTACTTACCAATTAAAAAATGATAATGAATTTAAGGACTTATAAAAGCTAAACACATGCAAAATTTAGAACACTCATATTCTGAAATAGCACGGAAGGAAAGAAGCAACAAGAATAGATAAATATTGAAAGATTTGGTTTGTCTTTTGTATTATGTCACCATATATTCAAGAAGAGTTTTGTACCACAGGTTACTGATCAACAGACTTTTAAGTCGACAAATCGAGTATATGTTGGACCCACTACCAGGCAACTGAATCAACGAGTTAGTGAACACCTCCCTTCGTGGTTAAGAAAAGGTTACGTCATAACAATACGCAGCTCGGTTCTATCACACTTGATCGATAGCGGCCATATAGTAAACAGAAACAAGTCGTTCAAAGCTATTTATCGTATTCCCACTAGTTTTCCTTATGGTGTTCGATCTCGTCTCTTACATATAGCAGAAGCTATAGGAATCCGAGCCAACAAGCCAAGTCTTTGTGTTCAGAAGAAATTTGTAACACCATTATCTCTCCCCTGGCCTTAAGTAATAAATGAATTTAGTTATTCTTTTTCAAACTTTCTCTTCGTTTATTATTTTTCTTCACCCCCTCCTACCACTTTATTTTCTCCCAACTATAAGTTTCATGGTCCAATTATCTGAACATTTCTTATTACGTCATCTCGTAATTTTATAAATGTTATCCCAGTTTATATATTTTTCTAATCATTGACCTATTTCCGATTATGTAGCATTGATTTGAGCCTTTATTATTCTTAACAAAACTAGTGCACCTGTTGTCACAGTATCAATTGTACTTTTCACGTTTCACTTATTGTGTAATCGTCTTCATTGTTATCATTGACTTACAAACTACCTTGGTTGGTTTAATAATTTCGTATATGCACATAAATATTACTGTATATTAGAGTAAAGCCTGATGAGGATTTAATCGAAAACAATGTTGTTGGCTTATATATGTTGTTCTAAATTTACAATATGGGAATATTTCAAAAAATCGAGTACTTCAGTAAAACTCTCGAAAGACAGAGATACCAATATGTGTACTTAACTAAACCAGGCTTCATGAAGTTGGTATTCATTTTTCAGTTGTTGAGGTATGAGAAATGTCTATATTGTGACGAATGATGATACTTTATGGCTACCTAAACGGAAGTAGATGAAATGAGCCTGAAATCATGACTTATTGGTCGAAAGTTGAAGGTGTTAACCACTAAACCACCTCTCATAGCATTTATCCGATGCACCTTTGTTAAACAATGTATGTTATTCATTCATAGTGTTTTGGATTAAATACACAGCACACTTACCTGATTCTTAGAGAGGAGAAGTACACAGACAGTTCTATGTCAAAAGTACTTGAAAGACTTTCACGTATTATAGGTACACTTATTCTATCTTCAAGTAAGTAGTATCCTGAAGAAAAAAGAGCAAATGACCTGATAGATAACTTACCAGCTCTTGAGATGTTTGATGATAGCTCAAAGATTTTGCTTGGAATCGTTTTGGTTTCATAAATACTAGTCTACACCATAAATTCATTGTAAAGCATGAACTTACTTGTGTAGAAGGTAACAAGTATTTCCGAAAGCACAAAAGGTCCCCAGAATAAAGAAATCCACTAGTATGTGACCGAAAAACTTTGTTTATAAATACTGGAACCTTTTCTAGCCTATTGTAGAAACGCTATAAAACATATTAGCTGAAATTAATGTCTTGTGAATATACCAACAAGGTAACATCAACCAATAGTACAATAGTGAGACCAATTATTTTTTCCGACGGCGACAAAGGAAACTTGATATTAATATTAACTGCCACTTCTTCATTGAGGTTTTTATTTTTAGAATTGTAGTAACTGATTTGAGGTAGCCTAAGCGAAGATTTCAATAGATGGTTGGTTTCCTTTTGTGGTATGTTACCATAATAAAGAAAACCATCACTCTTCTGAAGAAAAAGGAGCATGTTTCCGTCGAACGATATCAGGGGTTTCTCTGGGAAAGCATAAGAATTTATATACATGACTAAATAAATATTGGTGTAATATTCAGAAATTGACAATTTGCTTACAACCCGTTACATACGAGATGATCCATGGTATTAACGTAATCATAAGAACCACAAAAGTGTCGAAAGCAAATGCTAATGATGATACTCTGGCATAATAACGTCGCAATTCATACAACTTGTAGACTTTCATGTTTTGACTTTGACAAGAAACATAGAAACAAGTTTGAATGATACGTTTAAACAAAATTTCAGTGTAAAGATAAAAAGTACCTAATTTGTTGAATCTGATTGTTATCCCGAACAATACACCGACAAACCCCTCGTTGCTCCCGAAAGCGGTCACAGGTTATTATCATATTTCTTGATTAGTTTGTATTATAACCGTTTGAATCTCTACTGAAAAGATGAGAACCCGATTTTCCTTGATCTTGGACATATAAGAGCCCTGTTTATTCCCAAAGATAGAACTTACGATTCTCTTGTGTCTGATCACTAACCACTCTTTAAACAGAAGGGGGTTTTTGCTGAAGGGAAATTTCTTCATTTTATTTTTTATGAATTGTATTTGTTATTCAGACATTTCAGAAAAATTTTAAAAATTGTCCTTTTAGAGCGAAATGAAGTACTTGTTAGACTTTACCTAGAGGAGCCAGGAGAAGTTTCCAACATGTAGCAGTCTTTTAGAATTAACATTTATTCTGACTTTCGGTATGAAGACGTTAACACTCACAGTGTCCGCCATCCTGCCATTAAATTTTTACACATTCGTTTTCTATATGACACTCCTCAGGATTATCCGCCAGAAGAAGCAGATATGAAATTGAAAGATTCACTCCTATCATGATCTATCATACGGCGATGTCTCAATCAAGTATCACGAGAAAGCGAGCAGCATTTCTCTAATTTTACCGACTACGTGATATTAAATAAACTAGTACCGTGTATCAAAGTAGTAGGTCCTTACACAATGGCGGTTATCACTGTAGAATAAAGACGTCAGTAATCAAAGTGATCCGCCTGTTGTTATCTGAAACAAGAAAGACGTGAGTGATTCGAAAACTTAAGCCAGCGCTTCTAGTCATGATTTTCAAATTGTCTTGTTGATGGATTCCATATGCTCACTGAGAAGCTGAGCCGCTTTTTCCGTTGTTCATCTCCTTTTCCCTAAAAATCTGTATCTGAGGTGTATTGGTTACCTCTAAGGAAAGAAAGTTATTGTATTTATCCTTTAGGTATGACAATGAAGAAATAAACTGACACTTCAGGAGGTTCTTACTCCTCTTCATAGTTGGGCGGATGACAACAAACTTGCCTGTAATACTTCAAAGTGTAAAGTGATCCATCTGAGACATTTTGCAGACTACGAATACAGCTTAGGTAGCTCACTTACAGAGGTATTCCAAGTTGAAGAAAAATCTAAGAATGTTGGTATCCTATAATCTGAAGTTTTACGCTAACTGCGACATAAATGCTTTTCGAGAAAACCTTGCATTGACAACGTTGAAACGCATTTGCTACCAGTTCGACCGGGGATGGATGATATCTTATTATTATTCACCAATTTTTTATAATTCCTATTTCATCAATTATATGCTCAGGCTTATGCCTGGAGGTTATAGTGGTCCACTACTACTAAATATGGAAGCCCGTTAAGCGAAAGCCTCTTCTATCCCGACTAAAACCATTTGAGCAAGCACCTAAATTTGGTGAAGTTTTGTGAAATCCACGACCGAAGACCTGTTCTTTTAGGTTTTCATTAGTGATCAGTTCAGGATTTCAATCATACACTATGGTTACGATAACGCTGTTTTGGCATTTGTACTAAGTGAGGATCCATCCCTAATTGACTCAGCGTTTATTAGGAATTTTAAATGTAATACATCCACTTATGTTCACCTAGTTCTATCTGCCTTAACTTTCACTATTTTGTGAATTCTGTATTGGTGCATTTATTCTACTAATAATTACAAGTATTTGACTTATAGTACAAACTAGGGACCCCAGAAATTATGCAATTGGATCAAGAAGTACTAAACAAGGACGAACGGATGTATTGTATTTACAATTCGAAATCAAGCGTTCAACAAGCACAAAAAAATCGTTAATCCATGTTTTTAGGATTTTGACAACCTCGACTCCTTTGGAATACAATACAGACCACTCAATTCTAACAATATCTGTGCAGCAGAACGCACTGATCTGCAGGGCCAGTGAAATGTCATCGAGCCCTAGCCAAATCATCCGGCAGTTGGGTCACTGAATATCAAACAGATCGTCGATACACGTCAAGGACAACCATTGCGCATCAGTTAATCGTGCGCTATGGACTGGTGCACGCGGTAATGGTTTCGCTATCTTCTATGTGCTGATTCTTACAAATATATTTCCATAATAACGTCTTTTGTGTTACATGGTGTTCAAAGTAACCATAGTGCTTTGATACGTCGAAGGGATAACTACGTTAGATGCTGACAGCGAGGTGTGACTTCGAAGTTAGGTGGTTCGTCATGCCATTCCCGTCTAACTTGAGTAAACCTCCAACCATTCAAAATAGACCATCTACGTTGGTGATTAACAGCAGTCACTCAGCCACAACATAGGACCAGGCACATAGACGCATCGGGCCAAGTTACCATACCTCATTAACACAACAAGATGGACACCGGATGCATAAAAGTAGTTAATTCAGAGGTGGTAACATATAAAAGAAAGATTGCAATAAGGATATAGCACAGGAAGAAAGATATAGTTCGTAGAAAGAAAGATATGAAGCGATTTTAATCTCTTTGTTTAAGGGAAGACAGAGAGTGTATACACTACATCATTGTGATCGATTCTGAGCCATGTCACCAAGAGTCTCCAACCATTGGTTACGAAAGTCACGCGGACCCCAACCAACTAGTCTGCATCTACCAACATGGCTCAGACTACAAGTTAGTGACTTCAAGCACTGATGCCACGTTTCGGTTTGGCCGCCTCTAACTTTCTTCCAACCATCCCAAACACCGGTTAGCATTGCATGTCGTGCTAATCGGTGTTCAGGCTACGTAACACGTGACCCAACCATCTCAGTCGATGAAGATTCATAACCTCATCAACTGATTTACCATCATTCCCTAATACCCTGCGTCTAGCCTCACTATTACTTACCCGGTGATCCCAGCAGACACCAGTAATATTTCTGAGGCATCTGTGGTCAAATACTAGTAGCTTACGAGTGTCTTCTACTCATAATGTCCACGTTTCGCTGACGTAAATTAAAACAGAACGAACTGCCGCGCAGTATTCTCGTCGCTTTATTGATAGACGGATATCTCGCCTTCGCCATAGGTGATGTAAGTTGGCAAAAGCCGAGCGAGCTTTCCGAATCCGTGCTATGATTTCGTCAGATACCAACCCATTGGGGCTGATCAGACTTCCAAGATAAGTGAAGTTGTCAACGCGTTCGACTACTTCACTCCCTATCCTCAGTTCAGGTGTTGACGCAGCACCTATTTTCAGAATTTAATATAGGAACATTCGTCCATCCAAAATTCTTTAGGATCTGAGGTTGGCCAGGAATTTCATCTGACTGCTTATATTCTGCCAAACAACACTTATGCAACGTCAACCGATCCTATCTCGACAACTAGTCTTGCTTATCAGTGACTAACTACTCAACCACGGGCTTGTATGTTCCTATGGATCAACGTACTTAGCACTCTCTTGGTCAAATATCAATCGCTATTTTTTGTCTTGTTTGCATTTACTATAAAGTATAGGTTTGTGATTTGCAGATTCGAAGTATAAACTAACGTTTTTCAGATGACTATCACGAGGCGAGACTGTCTTTCAACATTATTCAATCTTGATTGTATATTTCAGTAAAACTTAAGATCGATTGGTACGACAAATTAAAAAGTATCAATTGGTTTTTTAATGCAAAACTATGGATAAATTAAACTAAGATACATTCATTAAGATATTGAATAATCACAAAATCACGGTCCCCACTTGTGATTAATAATTGTTACTCTAACAGGTAGGGATACGTATTATGTGTAAAATACATGAGGAAAGAGCATATGCTTTAACAATGATTCCACTAATACATAGAAAATAGTCCATACTTAAGTTGATAAGACTGATCATCAACATTGAGGTTTATATGTACATTATTACTATTGTTTACTCAAAACGCAAACAATATATTTACACAATGTAATGTGTCCTTTAATTACACGATTCATACTTAATATCGTTATCTTGATTCTCTAAATGTAAATCATCATCAGTACGACTATTATTTCCAGATTTTTGGCCCTGATCAATATTCATTGGAACTCGAATAACTAATGCAGCATCATCAAAGAAAGGATTTTTAGCGTGCAGTTCACTTAACCAAAGTCGAATAAGTGCGGAAGATGCAGGTGATGGGATTTGTGGTAAATTGTATCTTTCTTTTTGATTTCGTTGTTTACAATCTTTTGAATCTGAATGATGAATTCTGTTAGAAACTTCCCAATCATATAACTTTTTCTGATTATCCAAAGCATCTGGTTTAGGTACAACAACTCCAACAGCAAGTATTGTACCCTCACCTTGTTCATGTTGACATAGATTGGATGGTAAATATTTATAGACATGACTTTGACGAATTGAAAGCCAACGTTTATCGAATTCTGGTTCACACTTACTTATAAATCTTGTAAAGACATTATCTTCATTACAATGGTGCAATTCAGTGCCAACTGAACTCACTGTAGGAAGAAGACTCATATGTGGAAAAAGTGAGCGATTCGCATTTTGAGAATTGGAACTATTCAGTACTATATTTGAACTATCATTAGAATAGTTGAAGAACGAAAGATTATACGGTTCTGTAAAACGAAAATGTATAAAAACGTACATGAAAAATGTAAGATATAAGTAGTGCATTGTAACTATGAAATGGAGAACCAATTGTTTGACGTAGTCTGTCCAGCAAATACTCGAGCTAAGGTCATATAAACTCCATTTGAACAAATCTCGTCCTTTTGACAATATTTTCTATCTATAGTAACGGATTTAATTTCAGTGCTAAAATATCTTCGGTAATTAAATCATTCAATCTATCTGAGAGGATCACATGCGACGACGATTTTCTCATATCTAAATAATCAACAATCACAGAATCAGAAATTTCAAAACACAAAAGACGATATGCATCCGATCTTGTCATCAATACAAAAGTTCAGCTGTCATCTTGACCCTGTATAATGCTTTTATGATTCTACGATCTCCACTGCAGCACTTGATTTATGTGTAAACAGAACTCCTTTATGAATTTCTTGGTTTTCTACAAATTTCAACAAATGTCTGATGCTATTCACTCTGAGTATTCATTGAATAGCCTTAATAGTCTAATTAATAAATGGTTTGTAACTTATCCAATTAATTTTTCTACAGTAAGTATGGGAGATAATTTAGAATTTAAGAGAGAAATATAGAAAATAAGAGGAATGATCAGTGGCGCAATGATGTAATTGGTTGAAACATTTCAAGTAATTTTATTGAGATCATTCAGCATAAGTGATGAGGTGCATTCCATCAGGTATAAACACTAACCGGGTAACCAATTGAAACTAAAATATGGCAGACATTCATTTTGTTGTAATCTGAGATTTATTGGAAGTACAAATATCAAGTCTAAGAACAACAATTTTCATTATAAAAAACGGCATCATTTAGTCTAGTTCGATTAACTAATACTTTTAATCTTTAAAATATCAATGTAGAATGTAAAGTGCTTTATTTTAGGATTATGTTTCTGTCATGATTGCAGCCGAGTGAGTTGAGTCTGACAGTTATTTGAGAACTTTGAACATTAGTTAAATGATACCATATGGGATCAAAAATGTCAGAACACTGGTGATTAGACTCAGAGGTGAGTAAAGTAAAGCATGTTCAATGCATAAACTTATTAGACTTTAAGCCATACAATACAATAAACAGATCGATTAATAATTTAATTCATATGATATTGAAATCAATAACTATTTCAGGTGAAAATCTTCTAAAAGAGAATCATTTTACAATTACTTCCCCCTAAAGATTGATTAGAGACGTATGTCAATTAAGAAAAGTAAGCAAGAAGGAAATATCAAACTTGGGTGGTTATTCCTTGATGAGTTATTATATAGTCCTAACTGTTGATTCAACTCACTAGCTGTCGTTGTATCTTGTACTTCGTGGTGTTGTGATCTGGAAAGATACTTACAATCATTCATCAGGGATTTATAGTGTTTGTTGATTGGAGGTCTGAGGACGTGTAGTCAACTGATCGTGTGAATGAATACAGTACCGAAGTTGGTGGTTTATAGAGTTGGTAAGATCATTATAATATCTGTCTTGATCGACTACCTTATATAAAATCATTTTATAACATGAAAAACACAACAACAGGATCTTTAACGGAAATAAACACATACCGTCTGCACTATGCTTTGGCACTTGGTTAGCTTTTACTGAATTAATTTCTTTTTTTAATCGATCAGCATCGATCTCTGTCCATAAGGTGTAATAAGCAGCCTATGCATAAAGAAGTAAGGAGAAAAAAGAGAATTACATTGACAACATGTTACGACTCCACTTGTTTAGTATCTATAACCACTACATTTCACACAACTTGTCCCAACCCAGAATAAGGATAAAATGAAAACAAGATACATATAAAATGACCGAAACAATAAAGAGTCTAGTAGTAAAGACACAAGCGTTTATAAAGAATTTACAAGAGAAACATCATCATACCATTTATTAACACTGGTTTCCGGACTTTCAAGTAACCAATGCTAAAGTTAGATATCTAGTACTAGGTAAGCATGGTAAATTAGTTAACGAGACAGTGGATTTTCATGAATTGAGGTGACTAAGACACGTGTTGTGCATGTCTAACAACTGCTTACCTCGACGGGCCATGTCGTCTAGTGTAGTAGGCTGGGAGATAGTCAAGGGCGGCCAAATCAAAACGTGAAGTCACTGTCTATTGGACAGAGCCATATGGGTAGGTGCACATAATGCTCCCGGGGTCCGTGAGAATATCGTAACCAATGGTCGGAGACTTTGGGCTGATGAGACTTCCGAGATAAGTGAAGCGGTCGACACGCTCAACTACTTCACTCCCTATCATTAATTCAGGTGTCGATGAAACCCACATCCTGAAGCAACATTTTGCATCTCAAGGGGAGAATCGCATGCCGGACATACTTGCATTGGTGCTTACGGTGGTCAGAAGACTCTGTATTTTGTCAGTGTCTTCACCAAATAGAACTATGTCATCAGCATTTTCTAAGTCAACAAGTGAATCACCCGGTAAAAGTTCAACTCCTGGAAATTTAGATGAGGAAATTGTTATCTCTAAAAGCACGTTAAATAAGAATAGAGAGAGTAGACAGCCCTGACAAACACCAGTGATACTATGATTATTTCGACTCCTTTGGTATTTTGTTAATTTTGTCTCACTGTACAAATATGACGCGAGGTAACCCGAACATCCGTCCCGTATCTCACATTGATTACGACTGAGTAATAATTTAAATGGATTTATATTTGAGGTAATCCTTTATGGACACAAATTAGTTTGCCGAATTTTCGCTGAGAAATGTTTTATAACGGTAGATGAAGTCATAATCCATAACCACTCTTCATCCCTTTGATGAGTAGTACATGTCTCAAACGACCCTATAGATATTGAGAAAACATTGATGTCAACGAATCGGATTTACTTTGTATTTAGGTATCTAACAGCTGGATTACGGGATGAGGAAGCGGAAACAACTATATATTTGATAAAACAAACTTTGTACACATACTTGAACCACTTACTTATTCACAAATGGAGTAAAATTCACTTCACTTTTTAAAGATACAATCAATCAAATAATAAAACTGAAGAGATATGAATTATCTATGTGCATTAAGATGGTGGGCAATATTTGAAGTTCATGTGAATGGATTTTTGTTCTCCAAGCTGGATAGTTTAGTTGTGGAACTTTAAACAAAATTGTCATGTTGCTCAGAAGCTCCACAACTAAACCATTCAGCTCAGAGAATAAAACTCCACCACAATTTATGTATATGTTGTGAAAATTGACTGAATATTATTATGTTAATTCTCAGTACATCAATCTCACTTACTTGTAAATTTCTAAACCATACATAATGTGGTCCATCTAAATAAATCGTTGGTTTTGTACATTGAGTATTATTAATTTGATCATTGTGAATTTGTTTATTAGTACAATATGCTAGTAATGCACGCTGTTCAGGACTTTGAGCACTGATAAATGAATCTGGTCTATTAGGATTAGATGAAGACATCTAAAAAATACCAGCAAAAAAAGAAGTTCAACAATCATGGCGAAAACAAGAAAGATAAAAGATACCGGTTATATTAGATATTCGCAATTAGCATTAGCGCAGAAAATCTAATGCTACAATATGAAGAATACGCGCTTCATCCATAGTAGTGGCACTAATTCACACTTAGATCGTCCTTACACATCAAAGTAATCAGTCTTCTGAAAAAACTCTATCAGTAGTCCTTTCGGGGTTACTGCCGGTCCTAAGTCTGGATAAGAAGTTTTGCATGGAATCACCAACCCAATCCCATAGAAAACAACCTTGCTAAAGAGACGCTAACGAGAAAAAATCGTTTAGACTATTCATACTCTACCCTGGAAGTTAAAGGATCTTCATTTAGGAGAATTATTACGCCTCATGATGAAAACCGAGATTCTTCAGAAGACATTATGCCGACCCACCTTCCAACAATCAGGGAAACAATTAATATAGGTATGTGGAATGTTCGGACAATGTGGGAGATTAGGAGGACCAGTCGAACTGCTGCGGGAATGAGGAGATACAATTTGGCGGTACTCGGAATAAGTGGAAGCCATTGAATCCAACCTGGACAGAAAAGATAAGATTCGAGAGATGCAGTTGTACACTATTTATTATTTATAAACAATTGTCTACGCAACATACTCAATGTCCATTGGCCGGATACCATCAGCAACAGCCCACTGTGGGAGAGAACAAACCAGCTTCCAGCTAAAGAGGAAACTAGAAAAAGATGCCGAAGGTGAATAGGACATAAACTGTGGAAATCATCAGACCGCATCACAAGGTATGCCCTAACTCAGAATCCCGAAGGCAAAAGGAAAAGAGGAAGACCGAGAGACATATTGCGAAAGGAATTGGAGACAGACATGAAAAGAATGAACAGCGAATGGAAACAATTGGAAAGGACAGCACAGACAGAGCTGGTTGGCGGTCTATGCTCCCACGAAGGGTCACAGACGTAAGTTTCCTGAAAATGAAAAGGATGATACAATTATTCTGTAAACATAAAATGTGCACATGATTCTGAAAGGCATATAACAAGTTAAGATATTAGAAGATTATTTGGTTACTAAGAGAACGGCAATGGTCATGATGAGAATACGGATTGTTTGTCCATGACAGATTTTTGTTGCGAAAAAGTATGAACTTTAATAGTACGTTAAGTAAGCAGAAACTTCAAAATCTCTACTGAATTTTAAAATAATCTAATTCTTAGGGAAATACTACTAAAAGCAAAGGAATGAACCGAACAACCTTTTTTTATCAATAAGCAGCATAAAAAGTAATGAGAGAATATGTTACGTACATAAAAATGGGTCCAATGAATAGTAACTAATTGAAATGAAGTTTAACTTTTTTTTAGAACACTAGATTTCTTTGAATGAGCAACAGAATGGTAAATATTAAGTACGGAATTGACACGTACCATAATAGATATCCAGATAGCGACCAGGCCATCACATGTCAAATGAAATTCCATTAAGAAAACATTACTCTCCTGATTAACACATATTATGAAAAAATACAGAGGGTAAAAAACATAGATTACACAGTGGATATATTTGACTGTCTATCTAGAACATCAACCAATCAAAGTTGCCTTCTACCTACACAACATCGGTGGTCATGCTGAATGTGTGGACTTTTGATTCATTACTTGAAGTACTTAACCATTCATCCATTGCGTCATTGGTTGAAACTAATTTAACTACTTTGGTTTTGGGTAAATGAGTAATAGTTGAATGAACTAACTTGCGTGCATTTTTGTTGGGTTTTACAGTAGTGCTTATTTGAAATCGTGAACCGATCAATATTAAACCACTATTGAAAACCTGGAAGTACTAAACGGGATTTTTTCCAGGTATAAAACTCCTCGGTATTGAGTATCAACGACCTCAAACGCGGGAATCGGACCCAATTGTATATTACTTGATAGTACAGGTCAGGATTCGGGCCCAGTGCCTTTAATTTCCTAGTTAAGCCAAAACTTTCAGATCACTAAATTCTTACTGACTGTGAGTACCGAGATAACTGTCGAGTGTCCTTGTTTTGAAGGGGTCTTCTAGCTGGACGTCAGTAAGTGATGAAAATTACGTTCAAATTGGACTCAAACTTGAATTTTCACAAGATTTTGATTAATATAACTCAGAATCGGTCACAAAGACACAGATCCACTCACTTTTTATCTTCCTCTCGAGATTTTGAGTTCCAACATTCTTCCACGACTACGTTTTCATTCAGTCTTTTCAAATCATACTCTACTACACCGTTTCGACCCATTTATTATTCATGTTGGTAATTTCATCTGATCGTGCTGATGTGGTACGAGAACCTGGGGTCAACTCACAAATGTGTCAGACTACAATGATTATGACTGACTGACGTAATCATCTTAATAAAATTGTATTAATCGATAGACGCTAATTTTTGTTTAATTAACTAACCTGTACAACAGTGAATTCTGTCATCCGATCGGGGCATATTCTTTCAGCAATTAAACAGCCCAATTTAATGGGATCTAAATCAAGATCATCAACGATTCGAAGTGGTAATGTCCATGGATTACTATAATACAATTTAGGCATCCAATACATTATACGACGATAAGCATTCATAGCATGATTACGCCAACCGAAAACGTCGATAATCATTTGGCCAACTTCATCATCTGGCAGGACGTCTAGTGAATTTCAACGTAATAATAAAAAAACTTCACATAAGGTATACAAAAAACTACTATAATTTAACTGTATATACACTGCGTTATCAAAATTAATCCAAACTGAGACAGAAACTCCAATGATTGCAAATATAAATTTGAAAAGAAAAAACTGTTTTATTCTCTCCGCTCCATTACTTAATCAATCAGTACCTATAATCGACTCGTAAAAAAGTTAAATTACTTTGCTTCAACTTTTTGTCCCTTTTTATTCTCATTTTGTGTAAACTCTTGTTATTCAACTCATTCATTAACTCATTTATATAGAAAGCTCTGTTCTGTATAAACTATCTCAAGTTGCTGAATATTCAAATATCTGAATGTTACTACTGAATACAAAATTTGAATCAATTTTCCTGAGGTCATGTGTACCACTGCAACAGATAGGAAAACAGACATGTTTGTCTATGTATTTAAAAAGTCTTAACGTTGGTGTTTTCCACCCGGCAGACCGTATTCGAAACTCTGAAGAAAAGCTACAAATTGGTTCTCCATCTGTTGATTCGGAAAATTTGTCTTATAGGTGTTTATCCAGGGGTACGATGGTAACATAATTCGGTTTAGCTGGCGCTGGTGCCGAACTAAGAGACATATCACGGGCAGAAACAATCGACTGGACCCCATTGACAGTCGTTTATGTCATGATGCTGGGGTATCAAAGAAAGTTGTATAGGACTGACATTTATACGCACTGTAGAATCTGGCACATATATGCGTCAGTTTAAGTTGCCACATCATGCCAGAGTAGTAGCAATATTAATGGTAATAGAAAAGATTAGGCTTAAGAGATATGACTCAGTAAGAAAAGAAGTATATTAAAGAAATATACTGCAATGGAAGTCGACGATACTGTAAAACAGTGCAAAAGGAACGAATGAGATAGAAAGGAAAAAAGTTTGAGAATGAGTATAACTGTTAATTTCCATTCGCAACGTATGCAGTTCTGCATCTTGGACTATAATGTCTATCATTGAATGTCTTTAAGAATTATCCCAGGCTACTGATTCCATTTGTCGGACAAAAATGCTTACACTTAAGCCCAAAATTGAAAACATCAATCAGATACTACACGAATTGATCTGTCTATTTAATATTATTACCCACTCTATCTAAATGCTATTAATTTTGGTTGTATACTACGGTATGGTAAACAGTCGCTGATAATATGGAATAATGAATTAAACTTACAATTCAGTCAGTCAGTCAGCTACAACATAGGACCAGGCACATAGACGCATCGGTCCAAGTTGCCATACCTTATTAACACAACAAGATGGACACCGGATGCATAAAAGTAGTTAATTCAGAGGTGGTAACATATAAAAGAAAGATTGCAATAAGGATATAGCACAGGAAGAAAGATATAGTTCGTAGAAAGAAAGATATGAAGCGATTTTAATCTCTTTGTTTAAGGGAAGACAGAGAGTGTATACACTACATCATTGTGATCGATTCTGAGCCATGTCACCAAGAGTCTCCAACCATTGGTTACGAAAGTCACGCGGACCCCAACCAACTAGTCTGCATCTACCAACATGGCTCAGACTACAAGTTAGTGACTTCAAGCACTGATGCCACGTTTTGGTTTAGCCGCCTCTAACTTTCTTCCAACCATCCCAAACACCGGTTAGCATTGCATGTCGTGCTAATCTGTGTTTGGGCATACGTAACACGTGGCCCAACCATCTCAGTCGATGAACATTCACAACCTCATCAACTGATTTACCATCATTCCCTAATACCCTGCGTCTAGCCTCACTATTACTTACCCGGTGATCCCAGCAGACACCAGTAATATTTCTGAGGCATCTGTGGTCAAATACTAGTAGCTTACGAGTGTCTTCTACTCTTAATGACCATGTTTCGCTGCCGTAAATTAAAACAGAACGAACTGTTGCGCAGTATACTCGTCCTTTTATTGATAGACGGATATCTCGCCTTCGCCATAGGTGATGTAAGTTGGCAAAAGCCAAACGAGCTTTTCGAATCCGTGCTGAGATTTCGTCAGATACCAACCCATTAGGGCTGATCAGACTTCCAAGATAAGTGAAGTTGTCAACGTGTTCGACTAGTTCACTCCCTATCCTTAGTTCAGGTGTTGACGCAGACCAGTCCTGAAGCAGCAGCTTGCATTTAGAGGGAGAAAAGCGCATTCCAAACATTCCGGCATTGTTGCTTAGTGCTACCAAAAGACTTTGCATTTTATCAGCGTCTTCACCAAACAGGACTATATCATCTGCGTATTCCAAGTCGATAAGTGGACTTCCTGGAATTCAGTAGACGAGAATGTTATTTCCATCAATAGGTCTCTGATGAAGCTAAACAAAAATAGAGAAAGTGGACAGCCTTGACGGACACCACTTGAGGTTGCAAAGGCAGATGACAGTTCGCCATAAGCTCTAACTCGACTGGTAGTGTTCGAGTAAAGAGCCTTCACAGGGTTTATGTACTTCTGAGGTACGCCTTTCAATGACAGACACTGCCACAGAATTTCGCGGTCTACCGAGTCAAATGCTGCTTTTAAGTCACGAATGACCACCATGGTCGGACGCCGATAAGTATGCCTATGTTCTAGAACCTGACGAATGGTGAATATGTGGTCGATGCAACCACGACCAGGTCTGAAGCCAGCTTGATTCTCTCGTGTTTGCGCACACTTACAATTAGTTGTAACAGTTTGTTTTTTATTCACTTTGATATTCAGTACTGAATTTGATTTATCTGACAATATATGGGCTCTCTAAATGCATGGCTACATAATCCCTATACTGGAAAATTGGCTATGGATACAAGACTCATAAGCTGGGTTTGTCTACATACCAATGTTGATAATCACAAAGGGACTCAAACTCAATGCCTATTGCTTTAAACTTCGGATATTTAAGTCATCAGACTAAAAGAGCCACAATAGAACACTTACACTGATGTAAAAAAGTTTTTTTATGGAATAAAGAGATTCAACTCACAATATCTTGACATTTGACTTAATATGTCAATCATAACTTGTTGTTGTTTTGGAAAATGACCAAAATCAGCTTGTAAGAAACGTTTCACAACCATTCGTCCAGTAGGAAATAAACGAATTACTGCTTTATAACAATCTAAATCATCAACCACTTCATATTCAGGCATTTTAATTAGTGCATTTTCAATAAACGAAGTGAAACCTTTACGACTTGGTCCTGATCGTTGAATAAACATTTCTAAAATATGCTGTAATAATATAACAAGAGACAAAAGTACAAACTTTAGGTATTAAATGTTATTAGTTGTTTAATCAGTCATAGAAGAATTATAAATATGGTATACATGCATATTATTGGTGCATATCGTAACACGTCAAATCAACGTAGTGAAAGATAGAAATATACGAAGTTAATGGGATGCGGAGTGAAGTAGAGGAAATAGTGACAACTGACTAAAAATACGTTATCTTTTTCTTCCAAAATATGTTGCTGATTAGGTGTGGGAGGAAAAATGACTAGAGATAGTCAGATAAATATATTATCAGTTTATGGAGTCAATGATCGTTGTTAGAATTCATGTTAATAAGTATAACTTTTGTTGCTTGATGTCTACGAGTTGTTAGAAATCCCAATTGTGGACAAGTGTTCGACTATGAAAACGTCGATGTATCGGACAAAGATAATATAGAGGAAAACCACTGACTTAGCAGTCAGGTTACTACACAATCAATAACCATACTGAAACAGATCAAATTTATCAACTTGTTAAAGAAAACTATCACTAACTATATGGTCAGGAATCAAGTTAAAGAAAATAATCAAAATGAGTACGAGAATAATTGCTATCTATGTTACTTCTCATCCAACTATCGTTAATTTGTTGATTTCCAATAGCTACTCTGATATGAGGTATGGCAACTTGGATAAATGCACACTCATTGTGCTTGGGTTCTATATTGATAATAACTAAATCAAGTAAATTATAATGTAGCTAACACTTTGAAAAATCATATATAACAAGTGTATATGATTACGATAAAAGAAAATACATCCTGTGAGTATTGCTTACAAGGAATGTACGTTTCTTCCATTTTCGAAGTTCTGTCCTAGTCATACTAGTATCAGATCCTTTCCAATGTAACAATTCCGATTTTTCAACTTCTTGGACTGCATCCAACCACTCACTAAAATTTTCGAAGGGAAACAAAATACAAAAATTGAATGTGAGTGTGAGTGTTCTTCGAAATGCTAAACATTTCCCAAATAGTTACGTTAAGAAGCATATAAATCAGTACCGAACTAGTGTTTCGTGATACCTCAGAAATATACAATTTTGATACCTACCAAAATGGAATAACTAGCTTTCAATTTAAGTAATTTTTAGTAGTTGAATTATGGAAGCTGTTTACACAAAACAGTGAGTAGAGCTGTAATAAAAGTCAGACTGTAATCGACTGATATTTTTCTGTTAGTTGAGTTTCTAAACATGAGCAAGCTAAATGGCGATGGAAGTGAAACTGAACGAAGGATCGGAGTAATAATGTATTAACGTAGAAATTGTTACACTAATCTCAACTGCAAGTCCTTTTATTTTGATTAGTAACAAAATGAACCATTAATTAACAAGTCTTTGATATAAAAGTAACAGATTATCTCTTAACAGCAAAACAAAAGAAAACATAAACACGAAGCGATACATCGAATTAAATTTAGTGAAATTAGAACGAGTGGTAAAACATTCTGTATGAAATAATACTGTTCATACTCCTAGTAGTGATGAAAATTAAGTGTATTTTGTTTGCTAAGATCAATTTTGAAGCAGCTTAAACTAGCGTTTACAACTGAATTTATCATGTCTCATGAGCTTATATCAAAAAGCCAACAACTTTTGATATAACTCAGAGGAAAGTAAGGACAAAAGGTTTTCATGGGATGTTTCAATTTTTAATCAATAAAGGTTTTTAAAAAGTACCATAATACACAATAAATACTCCAAGAATGATAAAACATTGAAGTTTACAAGTATCGTTTATCTCTGATGTTCATGTTCTATAGGTTAACTTTACAAGAAAGAATATTTTTGAACTGTACAACTGATACTAAACATGCTGTTGAAGGTTTGATTTTTCACTTAAGCTACGACTGTTAGACTATTTAGAAAATAGTGGTAAACGTATTGATTCCGTCGTAATTACGTTAGAAAAATTAAGAATATTAAACAGCATGATAGACAGGTGCATGTATCATTGAAGTGAACAGTAACTGTACAAGAATAGGAGGACTCTATGATCGCTCTCACTATATTATTGTAAGGCATTGGGAATAGTACAGGTATTTAAGTAGATGTTTTTGGTAGTAGTGTGGTGGACAGTATCAGATTTAGCACTATTATCATGTTAGTCTAATCAATATAAGGTCCAGTGTACAACACTTCGGTATCAGTACCTGTATTATGCTTTTGTGAAGCATGAGCTTTGAGCTGAGTACGTTATACGGTTTTCTGTTGGACCATCTCTGCTTTTGTAATATTACTCACCTTACATTCGATTGAGAGACTAGGTGACGTGTCTCAGTATATTAGTGATAACCAAATTAGTGGAGTTGTCGTACAACATTCACTTAAGGAGTTTGTAAACGCTCTTCATGTGACTGTTTCCTAACTGTGAAGCTGGTTGGAGTTGTCATTCTTAAGAATAATATTGAAATATGAAAAATCGCACTATCAGGTAAGAACTTGTTAGTTCATTAAGACTATGTGGATAAGATTATAGAAATTACGAAACTTTGTAAGTTGAAACATCATTAAACATGTTTATGTTTTTCATAGACAGTAAGATATATTTTGAGGAGAAAGAAATCTACCTTGCTTATATTTGAAGTTGAATCATCTCTTTTAGTATTATAGTCCTTATTGGAACCACAAGGTTCACTTTTTCTTTTCCTTACAAGAATACTATTTCGTTTAGTGTGATGTCCCGTCGTCCTAAACTTTCTTGCTTCCCAATAAAGTATAAAATAAATTATGAAATTGACATCTTAGCCACCAGAAAATTTATTTAATCGTACGAGAAACAAGATTAGACTTCTGGCAATTTATGATCAATGAAAAATTATTCTGTTATGATAAAATAAGAAACTTTGAAGGTAGATCCAACTTACCTGTCATTTGGTACACTCTGAGAGTCTTTAGACTGGCTAGAGGCAGCTTCACTAAGCTTCGACTTGATGAAAGAAAAAAATGAAGCAGGACGTGAAACAACTGGCATCACTAGTTTGGTTGTACCAAATCGATTATCATAATCTGACATTCGACGTAAAACTGTGAATAGTCGCAATCTACGTATGAGTTCAATACGAGCCATTCTATTTCAATTCAAAGGCTTAAATGATCTAGAGACGAACAATGATATAAAAATTGACGAGAATTATGCTCATTTCTCCTAAAAATTTTATTTCTGCAAATAAATCTTTTCAGGATAATTTTATACTTTTAGCATTAAGACATTTACATACACAAATCGATAAATGCAGTTAGTAATTTCGCTTATTTGCTGTCCATTTCAACAATATAGTAAGAACACCGAAATATACTGACAAACCACACTGTCCCTTGGTCATCTCGGCCAAAGTTCCGATAACTTCATCTTAAATAGAGTACAAAGTGACTTACAAAAAACTTTACGACATTAGGAAAACCAGGCACTCTTACAAAATAGTAGTAGCAGATCGCCTTAACGCTCACATCCGTAAGCTAAACCAAACTGAAAAATACTTCATTGTGCCTGAGGGCATCACAGGAAAACGCAGCAGATAACGGTGACCGTCTCCTCTAAATACGCTCAAACAACCGTTTAGTCCTAGCAACTACAAACTTTGAACATAACAAGAGATAATGTGAGGACTGGTACCTTCCGACATCAACACAACGGTGGACACAAATAGATCATATCATCATCACCTATCGTTTGGAAGGCTTGACAAAAGACTGACATCTCTTTTCAGCCACAAGCTTGAACTCTGATCAGCTAGGGTGACTGGAATACTGGTAAGAGTTTGGGAGTAGGATATGCTCCCATCTGGCTGATCTTGATCGATGATTTTCAGTTTATAAAAAAGGATAGCAATCTTCTTGTGATAACCACAAACAAGTCAACTCGACTAACAGTGTTTGAAATATTTGTATCTATAATCACGTGATGCTTAACTAGAACTCGTCAGAAGCGAACTGAGGAGCATCGCGAATGTTTCACGCATAAAGGTGCATGTATGAACTGAATATTTACTTTTCGTCAGATTTTGGAAAACATGCACACATACCGGCGGACAGTTTCATGACCGCAAGGAAGCATCTGACTTTGTCGATTGAGAGGTTTCGTGACCGAGTTTATCACTGAAAGGTGTACCAAATAAGTACATTAACCTTGTGAAAGTTCTCTACTCAGACACTACTGGTCGAATCAAAGCTTATGATGAAGTTTACCCGAGCTGTATACCTCAAGTGGAGTGTGTCATGGTTTTCCACTGTCAGACTTTGTTTATATTATATTGGGCGAAAACTGGATAATGCGGTGCCTAAATTAAGGCAGTAGACAACTCAGCGACATTTGGGACATAGGGAAACAAGAAGGGGTGAATTCTGCACTATTTACCCATAGCAGGCGAAAAGGTGGACATTCTGACGCGTTTCCCCATTATTTCTCCTTTATATGCTAACGAAATGTCCACTTTATTTCCACGTTGCTCTCCTTTATTTCCTCTTAGTCAGTTGTTTAGGAACACAGTATTGCTATTTTGGGTAAAGTCGTAAGAAATTCGGTAGTTTAAATTACCAAGGTGTCATGAGATTATGGAGAAATATTGGGGAAAACCCGAAATTTCCCGATGACTTTTGAGACCTGTGGAAATTTTGAGGTTTAGTGCCACTTCCCCGAAGCTTTTTGTAGCGGCTTCCCCAAAACTTACCTAAAACGGATGAAATTTTCCCGAAATAGGGAAACTGGGAAGTATTATAGTTGCAACTATGGTATCGTTTATACACAAACGACAAAGGCAATAACTATGTGTCTCTTGTGTAAAAAGAAATAAGAATAAAAACACTTGATCAAACATAAGTGTTATATAATACACAATACAATACGGTAATTCGGACATATTCTAACTCGAAGTTAAACATGAAGTTAGACGATCAAATTTACAAGATATTTTGCCCCGAACGACCTTGAGTTAAATGGGCAAATGATTGTGAACGGAATAAAAGCAACTTTCGTTTAACGAACTTCTGTATCTGTTATTAGTGGATCACTGATTTCTCTAAGTAAGAACCTAGGTATATTTATTGATGAAAAAATAAATATTGGTAAGTCATTGTGAAATATCGTCTTTAGTCCTTAAGAATATGTCAAGTTTTTTCTTGTAGGACTCCTGGGAAATGACTAAGACCACCTTGACTGGCACAGAATTCAAGGATTTGTCTACTCACAAGGAGTAAAAGGTGTGATTGTGATCCAGTTTTCTCTGTTTTGCTTTTGATTTCTGCGTGCCACCCCTGAGATTTTTGTTGGGACTGAGCTTATGTGGATATTTTCGGAGGTGCTAAGAAGTGTTTAGGATTTTGTAAGTCGATAATTTGATCCGTTCTTTGCAATGTTTGAATTTCAGTCCCCGAACTCCTTTCGTGGCTCGCCTTTGGATACGTGTCAGTGTATCCTTACCAAACAAGAACATGTCAGTTCTATTCCCTCAGCTCAAAGGAGAATCACTAACTCCTTCAGTGTTTGACTTCAATCAGTCAGTACTTGGAAATACTCCATAAATTTCATATACTTTACTTGCTTTTTATCCTATTTCACAGCGTTTGCCTTCTTCCTCAAATTATCACCCATGATTTTTGATCGTGTCCTCCAGATGAGAATCAGAGTTTGTAAGAGAGTGGAGGGTAGGAAAATGAAACAAGAATATCTTAATAAATATTGCGAGGAGGCTACCCAACACCATGATGGTGAGTTACGATTTCCCTGACGGCTTATCAGGTGTTTACTCACGTGCCTCTTGAATCGCCTTCAAGTCAAAAATAAAGAAGAATATACTTCGAGGAAAAACATGTAATTAAAGTCAGTCAAATCTGGGGAATTGCTGCACTGCTTATGCAAAACAATCAGGCAATCAGATCATGCCTTTAAAAACGGCATGTTTTGCCCTGGCAGAAATATATTACAGATATATACATAAGGAAATGTAAAATTGTAAGTGATAAATGTTCGGTTCCACATAAGTTTTTGTTTTCCAAACGGGTTGGTAACCTGGAAGGAAATAGACACGGTCTAGCCAACTCGAGCGCGATGATGCATTGAAACGGTAGGTTACTTTTTTCAAGAAAAAAATCCATATGTATCTGTCAGAAGTTCCAATCACAACCAAAAATACAACTATGGGTTTGTGACAGTAGTCTTAAGCTGTAATGTCATGACATTACCAAGATGTTTGTGGACAAATCTTTACCAGTAAACCTAAGCTGTTACAAGGCAATGTGTAGTATGAGAAAAATTGAGGTTTGTCCTAGACTTATAAAACTGATTATATGGATATGGTGTAAACCTATCAATTAAAAATGAGTTGGAACCCAGCATTTCGGGCCCACTGATCAGGTATATACGACTGACACTATCGAAAGATTTTAAGAAATCCATGTTTTTGACATCAACTCTCTCCCTTCGATCAAGAACGGTTGTCCGCCTGTTCATAGAGGTCAGAAGGTCGGTTGCACAAAGGTGGTTCTTCCTTAACCCATGCTGTTGAGGTCTAAAGAGGATTATGGATAACATGTAAATAGTTGTGTATCAAAGACTTCGTAATTTCTGATGGTAGTGATAGAAGTGCTACCAGCCGAAAGGTTCGCTCAGTCAGCTTCTCTCAAAAACTGACTAAATGTTCGTCGACTTTCAATCTTCTGGGACTGTACCTCAGCTTAGTGAATGTGAGATCCTTGTACTAAGCGGCCTTGTCAAGAATAAAACCGCCTCTCTCACTATAATCCTATGAATCAGATTCGAACCAGAAGTATCAATCCTTAGGTGCTACGGTTTCTGGTGCACCAGGTCAGCGCTCAAGTTCACCTCCAAGAGTCCCGTTGAGTTGCCGGCAAAGCCCTAGTCGATGTGGTTTGTATGTGACGGTTAAAACGTATGAGAATACTGTTCTGCCAGAGGCTTGACGGTATCAACAGGGTTGCTCCGCCCCCACTCCTGTTTTTCTGTTGTCGCGGGACTAAAACGTGCCGTATAATGCCAGTCCTTTGTCAATAATATAAAATGATGCCTTCACTTTAGACAGTTTCATCGGATGAGTATTATTGACTTCACATAGTTCATGCGATTTATTCATTTTGTATGGTAAACTTGCAGTGTTTCTGTATCAGTAGTTGGTGCCTACAATTTAAAACGCTAGATATTCCCCGTTCTTTGTCTGCATGGACCTTGTGTGAGTGAACTGGCAACCTATCCACATAGAGTTTTCTAAGCACGCAGTCCCTGTCTCTCTCACTTTGTTCCTTGTTCTAGACAGTCCACGAGTGTAATAGTCGGTTCCCACTTGCTTGCGTGCTTAATCCTTGCATCATGTGACCCGTCCAGATGCATGTAAATTCCACTTGGTGACCAGAGTTTGTCAGCTTAGAGTGCCTTGAGAGTGACAGCAGTCACTTTATAGGGTGGGAACTCTGTCTTTATTAGTCTGGGTCTAGTATCCCCATCGCTCTCGGATAATAACACCACCTTTTGTGTCACGATGTACCTGGGCTTCAAGGACCACTTCATGAATTTCAACTCTAGAAGATTACGGTCTGCATAGTCAGGATCCGTCTTTTCCAGGTCGCCTCGCATAATCATCATGTTCTTGATGAGGTTGTGCCCAGATTATAGCAAGCCTCGCGATATCCTTCATCCTCCACTGATTTTAGCATGTGGCTGAACATATGAAGAATTATGGTCTACTATGATATTAGTACTGCTCTAATAATAGACCTAATCCTAAAATTGTAGATTTGTCATGATATAACTGCCTAATCTATAAGATCTTACGTGGAAGTCACATCATCGTCTACACCAACTCACTGCATCGTAGTAGTTACCAATACATGATAGAGAACATTCTTAGGTTGGCGGTGGAACAATATATTTAATATGAATATAAGATATAAGGTAATATTCATCTGGGACCACGCCTGTATGGCCGAGCCATGCCATACGATCAACTCCAATTAATTCACTTCTTTCTTTCCGCCTTCATCATCGTCGGGTTTTTCTCCGTGTTAAGTGTTGAATGTCTATTTCCCATATTTTCTCGTGCTAGGGCCCACTGCCACTACACATACTGTACGTCAGTAGTGTTGGTGAA